GAAGGCGAGGGGGAGTCTGTCGCGAGGAGAGAGAGAGAGAAATGAGAGATTAATTCTGGAGAACTGATTTTTATTCCAAATTAATTTCTGAAAATTATCAATTAAATCCTCAATGATTTTTCGATCGTAACTTCTTCGTTTCAAGTCCGAATCGAGCCTACCGCGTGTCTACGGACTCGGCTCAGTACAACCTTTCTAAAAACACCACCCAATGCTCCAAACTCTCTCCGGATAAAAATGACCCTTTTTGCCCCCACTTCAAGGGCAAAATTGGAAATTCCAAATTTTAATTAAATTAAAACCAATCGTAATAATATTTTGGGTCGGGATGTTACAAGCTGTACCATTTAATGCTAATTGCAAGCGATGAGCAAAGTAATGCACATAATATGCATATGGACAATCTTGAAGAAACAATGTTTGTAATCCATTCCATGAACCACGCATATTGCTCGCACCATCATACCCTTGACCATGCATGTTTTCCACTAGAATATCATTATTATCAAGCACTTTGCATATCTCTTTTTTAAGAGTCAAGGCATTAGTGTCTACAACACTTACAATATTGAAAAAGCGCTCACGAATAAATCCATCACAATCAACAAATATTAGAATAATAGCCATTTGTTCCTTACTGGATTAATCAAGTGATTCATCAACAATAATACAAAATTTCCTCTTCTCAAGTTCCCTACAAATTGTCTTCCTCACTTTGATAGCAAAAATATGCAAGATTTGTTTTTGTATGTCATGGGCAATACTGAGCATTTTGAGGAGCTTTACTTAGGATAACTTTCTCAACTTCTATATTCATTCTTGTAAAAGATTTTATGCTTTCAATGACATTGTGCGGGTTAGATGAGTCAACTGATTCATCGTGGCCTCGAAAAGCCAACGCTTGATTTGCTAGATCCAAATGCCCTCTATTATGGTTGTAAGTCGCAATCGATTGCCCATCACTTGTTGCTTTGATTGCTTGTCTACCACTATTCCAATATGAAGAGATGGGTTTTTCAAAGTACTCCACTTTTGCATAGCAAGATGATGTGGTGAATTTAGCTTGCTGACATGATGTTGAAATGAACTTTTATTCCCGCCAATTCTCTTCCAACTTTGAAAACCGTGAACAATAAATATTGGATGTGACTAATTCATATAAAAAAGGAAGCAAGGAAAACAAAATGCCACCATAATCTTAGCAACTGAATACTCAAGCCAAGTGAATTGGCCAAACCACTTTTTATTAAATAAATGTAAGGCACGCCCTTCTAAATGGCTTGGATAATCTTCTAACTCTAGTTGACATGGTCCTAAATGGATAGGCTCTTCGCACATTATCTTGTTCATTCACTGGATACTTGCATAATAGACGGCTTAATCTTGGATCACGCTCAAGATAATTGATATTAAAATCGTGATCATCATAGACTCTTTGATAATTAACTATTTCAACTTGAGGCTCAACAATGGGAGGCTTGACAATGGGAGACTCAAGAAGATTTTGCTCATCACAAATTGGAGTAGATAAAAAAGCACTAAAAGGCATTGAACTAGATGATGACCCATCATTCTTTTTCTTAAAAGAAAAGACAACAAATTCTTTGGTCTCTTAAGGTTCCGATTGTGATCCAAAATAATAAAAGATAATCTATAAACAATATATAGAAGGACCTTTAGTTAAACATACTAACAAAAAAATCAAACATCTCATATAGCAAATATGTGAAAACTGAAGTATAAAAAAAATAAGAGACAAAGAAAAAGTTCTGACTTGTGTAAATGCTCCCTCTGGTTTTCTCTTGTATGTAGCAATCTTGAGTGTGAGAACTTCAAAGTTTAAACAAATAAAAAATTGGCTTAATTACACAAATGGCACCTGAAACTTTGGTCAAATCCCACTCCCAACCCCCCAAACTCAAAATGGCCCATTTTCATCCCTTGATTGAGGTTTGGTGACCCACTTTGCCCCTACTGTTAATTTCATTCAAAAGTCCGTTAACTTTGATGACGTGGCATGGGTGTTTTTGTAATTTCGTACACATGAGCCATTACCCAACAATCTTGATGATGTGGCAAGGTGAAACCCACCTCTAGCATGGACAAAAAAATAATAAAAAAATATCTGCCTTTAAATAATTTAAAGCATTTGAAATATCAATTATATGACATAATAAATAAAGTAAAATAAATTGAAAATAAAAAAAACCCTACCTAGCCCCCAACCACTCCCCTAGTAGCCCCAATTCTCCCAGCCAGATCTCATTGGCCCTCCTCGGCCTCACCAGTCAAGTTGCGAGGGCTTCTTCTTGTTGGGCCTTTCTATTTCATTTCTTGTCTTTTTGTTTCTCTTCATACTTGAGGCTTTGGTGGGCCTAGAATTGGGATTGGGATATGAATTGGGGTTGGGGTTGTTGGTTGTTGATTGTAGGGTTAGGGTTAGAGTTAGATGATGTTGGTTGGGGGGGGGAAAGAGTGGAGGTAGATGACTTCATCTCTGAGTCTTTGTTCGAAGTAAGGATCCATTGTTGTGGGTAGGGTTGATTATTGGTTGTTGCCTTGGTGTTGTTTGTGAAAATGCAGCAATTGAATTCAACATAAACAAACTCTCAAAGTCTTAAAAAAAAACACTCTTCTTCGTCTTCTTCTTCATTAGTCATTTGCTTGCTTCTTCCAATTCCATTTATAATCTAACCAAGCAATTTTTTTGGTTATTTTTCATCTACTATTTCAAGATTGTATCTTTAGTTCTATAGGGAGATCTGGGAGTGGTGGGTGGTGAAGGTCGTTTGCTTGCATGAAGCCTAAATTCTTGATTTTTTAAAGATTGATTATTGATTGGTTGACACGAAGCGTCTACAAATTGTCTTTGCCTACAGTGGCTGTAATGATGACATTGTGAAGGCATAGGAGGTGGGAATGTTGGACAAAGTATCAGGTTTCTTTTTCTGGGTTTATTTCAATGTCTCTGCGTCAGGGATATGAGGTGGGAACGTCGGGGTGGAGCTGGGTGGTAGGGGAGACGGAGGGGAGGGATGGTTGCATGGGTTTTTTCAAAATTTGTATTAAAATATTAAAAAAATATTTGTAATAAAAAAAGGCTTAATCTTAGAATATTTAATTATATTTTTATTTATGTGGAGATGGGTTCCACCTTGCCACATCACCAAGATTGATGAATAATGACCCATGCGTATGAAATTACAAAAACAACCTTGTCACATCATCAAAGTTAATAGACTTTTGGATGGAGTTGACGGTAGGGGCAAAGTGAGTCATCAAACCTTAATCAAGGAATGAAAGTTTGTCATTTTGAGTTTGGAAAGTTTCATGGGGCATTGGTGTAATTAAGCCTAAAAATTTTTGTTATTAACAACAGCAAAATTCTAAACAACATTGAATCAAAGATGGAGACAAAAATTACATAGGAGATGGCGATAAAGTTGACCTTTGTTGCTCCCCACCAGTCAGCTTCCACTTTCCTCTTCACCAATGATTGTTGAGCACACAAAGAAGAAGAAGACAAAATTGCAAGGACAAGGAGATCTGAAGCGACGCATCATGGCTGGCTGGAAGGGTTTTCTTTTTCTCTTTTTGGGTTGGGCGGATAATATAGGTTGCCAGGAAAATTTATTTATTTATTTATGGAAAACTTTGGGCTAGGCAACAACCCATCCTGCACTCCATGTAGGCCCGCCCCTAATGTCAAATGCTAGATTTCGAAACTGAAAGAGGATTGTAATGAAGAAGCTTGAAGATACAAAAGATAATGAACAAGTATTTTCGGAGCATTCTAGAATTTGAAAAGAATTAATTCAAACTATTGGCATGGAGTTCGAATATGAAGATGAAGCATATAAGTTTTATAAAAATTATGCATATCATGTTGGTTTTAGAGTTAGAAAAGGTAAATCACGTACAGTCAAAGATGGCACTGTGAGAGAGAGGCTTTTTTTTGCTCATCTAAAGGCAAGCGTGAGAATGACAAACGTTATGTTAATGTGAAATGTCATCATGACGAGACAAGATTTGGTTGTCAAGCAAGGATGAAGGTTAATTGTTGTTTATTTGGTAAGTATCGTGTGATTGAATTTTTTCTTGAACATACACATGAGACTTCAACTCCTCGTAAGGCACACTTGTACAGATCCCACAAAAAGATGAGTCTTGCCCAAATAGCTGAAGCTAATATGGCTAATAGTTTGGGAATTGCTCTAAAAGCAACTGTTGAATTTTTTTAGTAAACACTTTGGTGGTCGTCAAAATCTTGGGTTTATTCCTCATGATTATAAAAATTATTTGTGTTCCAAGTGAACAAGAGAAATGAAGTTGGGTTATAGTAGTGGAGTGTTAGAGTATTTACAAAAAATTCAATGGAATGATCCCAATTTGTTTACACTATGAAAGTGGATGAAGATGATCTCATAACTAATATTTTTTGGGCTGATGGAAGGATGATGGTAGAATATGATTATTTTGGTGATGTGGTATGTTTTAATACTGCCTATAGAAAAAACAAAGAGGGACGACCTTGCTATGTTTTTTGGTGTCAATAATCATAAGAAAAGGGTTATATTTGGTGTTGCATTGTTATATGATGAGACAATGTCCACTTTCACGTGGTTGTTTGACATTTTTGCCAAAGCTATGTACCATTCTTACTTACCAAGATATTGCAATGGCTAATGCATTAGCTACAAAACGGCCAGAATCATGTCATCATATGTGCATATGCCATATTTATCAAAACGCAACCAAGCATGGAACAAGAGAAATGAAGTTGCCAAAGACTTTAGCAGCTGCGTTTATGAT